AATTTCCCTTCTCTGATTTCCTAGAACATTTGTTTATTGTCCGTATAATTCATTTGACATTTACTAGATCTGGCCTTGTAGATTTAATTAACTTTTCCTATTCCTGGATCACCTACACTGAAGCCTCAGGGCAGGTTCTCTGTCTCTTTCTCATTGTATCTACTATGATACTGGCCATACAGTTGAGGTCAAGAAACAAATGATGGTTTTGAAAGTTCAGGCAGGAGTAATGAAATCCGAAATAATGACAAATATCTTGGTTAGCTATTTGAGTTGGCAGCCTTCCTCATTGAGCAACAATTTTTACACATTAGGCGTGACTCAGGGTCACTTGGAGTGCTTAATAAAACATAGTTGGGCCTCATCCCAGAGTGTCTAATTCTACAGGTCTGAAAATTTGCCTGGTGTTGTGTTTTACATGCATTCTCTCATTTAATTCTCAGACAGACTTGTGATATGGGTACTATTTTAATCCAGACTTTATTAATGGCTCGCTGGAGACCGGAGAGGGCTTTGATTGATGGTGCAGCCAGTTCCGGCACTAGCCACTTTCCTCATCCTGAGGGGGGGTGTTATGTGTGTGTTCAGAGATTAGCATGAGTTTTCTTTATTCTAAGGTTATAAGATGTAGAAGAGAAATTTCTTGAGGGGAAAAAAGTATAAAGGATACCTAGTATAATCTTTTGGCCCCATCTAGCGGTTTCAAGTCTGACTGAAAAGGATCAATCCGTTATCTCCCCCTTCTGGCGAGAATGGTACAGTCGGCGCGCCTCCTCTGTGCGCATGCTTGCTGGAGGCTGTTAGTGTGAGGCGGTTGGTAGCCGGTTTGAAGCAGTTGGTCAGAGGCGGTTGGTCAGAGGCGGTTGGCCAGAGGCGTTGGTCAGAGGCGGTTGGCCAGAGGCGGTTGGTCAGAGGCGGTAATTCTGAGGCGGTAATTCTCTAAGGCGATAATTCTAAAGCCGTTAGTTCCCTCTCCCTCTGCCCCTCATCTATGTTGGTTTTGTTTCAGACAGGCGGGAAGTTCGTTTCCCATGCGTAGTTTTGGTTCCAATCCCATTTATAGCTTGTTAAATGTTCTTTTGCCGTACACATATAAATATATTTTATGTCAGCGCTGGAGATATATATGGCTGAGGAAAATAAGCTGTTCATCGGAATATTTTTTCCTGTCAGACGAACTTGCTTGAACATCTGACAGAAAAGTACTTAAATATAGTATTAATTGGTGATAGTTTTTCTCCTTCTCTCCAGACAGTTTATTTATGAATAAATGTTTTAAACAAAGACTACGGAGGAGAGAAAGGGGATTTGGAAGCATGAACCTCTTCAGGTTCCTTTATAGCACTTATAGGCATCCTCCCCCTCTACACACACACTTAAGGATCCCCCTAGTTTTAGGAACATTAAAATGGATGAAGACTGGCCTAGTCTTCAGCGTTGTCAGGTAGTTGCCCTGCGTGGGGATGTCAGTCAGGCTTAGTTAGCCCTTCTGTGCCTGTTGCTCTCAAAGTTAGATGGTAAATGGGGGTAATAAGTTCATGTGGCCACTAGGAGGTCGCAGCTGCTTGGAAAACGTTTCCATACAGTACAAGATCACCCCATACAAAAATCCATTTTGCCAAGCATTCCTCAAAAGGGAATTTGGTGATTCCCCTCACCCCCCATATAATCACCCTCCATCCTAAAATTGCATTTTTAAGTCTGTTATATTTATTGACATAATACTTAGTATTATATTTATAATGCAGATAATATACATATAATATTAATGTAATATTTTCTTAATTGTCCCATCATAAAGGTGTGTTAGGTTCAAAGGAAGAAGTATTTGTCTAACTCTCTGTATAGACCCTAACAAGTGGCGTATGCACCTAATACACTCACTAATCACTATTGGTGATGCTGGGGTGAGTATGACAACAGTGACTGGGTTGGGAATAATGGCGTGCTAAACAACATGTGTCCTCTGAAATCTTTAGCAGTTGTATTTTCACCTTGTTTTGGCAATTATTGCGCTGAATTAATGTTAGCTACTACTGTTAATAGCTCTCTGCACTTTGGGGACTTACCCATAAAGTAGGGGCAATAATTTCTACCCTGCTTCCCATCACAAGGCCACTTGTGAAGCCAGCAGGAGTTCATGTTTGATTCTACAAAGAGTAACTGGTCTGAACCTAAGTTGTACAGTTGCTCTCCCCTTCCTCCAGCAGGGTTATTTAAATAAAATGCCTCTTTAAAGAGACCCAGTACTTCACTCGTCAAACCAGCCTATTCCAACCAATTGCATGGGAAACCAAGCCCCAATGTAGTCAATTTGACAAGGAGTTCAATCAATTACTCTCCCAGCCCATCCCTCCTTGCTGGGCCGAGCCTACGTCACAACTCTGCACGCAGATTGGTTCTTGTTGGCCAATCACCACTGCAGTTTCTCTAGGACTGTAATTTTAAAAATTCACTGCTAGCAGATGGATTGGAGGGAACTCAGGCCAGGCTGAGACCCACACCCGGTTGCTACGACTTGGTCCTCCATTCATTTATCGGGGCTGCTCCTGGTCTAGAAGTGTGTCTATGGTCTTTCCTGTTATGCCCCCAATTTCAATGTGAGGTAGGAGCCTTTGGTTTTGTACTGCCCGCACGAATGTCCGGTATTGGCCATGGAGTGCCCCTTGTTACACGCTGTCTTCTTTTGCCAGTCAGCCGTTGTGAAGTGAGCCCCATATGAGGTTGGGCAGGGAGTGTGTATTAGAGGGTGAAATGATAAAGTAAATGAGACTAGGTCCCATCATTTAGATGGAGAGTCCAGTACACATGCCTGAATCAGAGTACATATACAAAATGTCTTTTTACAAGTGAAAGTATGCAGGATCAATTTCAGCCACAAGACAACGCATTTAAGTCAGAGAATGCTATTTGAGGGATGTGTTTTGAACTACAGGTTAATGGAAACGTGCCCTTTCCCCCTTGTTAAACTTCTCACATCTCCATTCTTCTATCTCTGCTTCTAACCCTTCAACTCTGGCTTGCCCATTGCTCTCTGCTATGTGATTAGAGTCCTAGAAGGCCAGATGTCGAAGGTGCCTTAGAACCATGCTTCTTAAACTTTAAAGTGCATACAAATCACCTGGGGATATTGTTAACTTGCCTGTGCCTATTTGGTCAGGCCTAGCTTGGGGCCTAAGATTTTAAATGGCTAAAAGCTCCCACGTGTTGCAAATGATGCTGGTCCATTTACCACTGTATGAATAACATGAAGGCTTTGGTCCCATTGCCTCATTTTATTAGCTGGAGAACTGAAGTTTACAGAGGGAAAAGGGACTTGCCTAGTGTCACCTAGCCAGCTACCTGCAGTGTTAGAACTAGATCCTAAGATACTTTCCCACCCAGTGCTGCTTTCATTGACAGACACCATACCCCCTACTCTCCCCAATGTCTTGCTGTCTGTAACCTGCCTTTATATATAAAACAAAGTTGCTACTGTTTCCTGTAGACCAGTGGTTCTCAACCTTCCTAACGCCACGACCCTTTAATACAGTTCCTCATATTGTGGTGACTCCCAACCATAAAATTATTTTCGTTGCTACTTCATCACTGTAATTTTGCTACTGTTATGAATCATAATGTAATTATATATGTGTTTTCCGATGGTCTTAGGCGACTCCTGTGAAAGGGTTGTTCAACCCCCAGGTTGAACCTCAGGTTGAGAACCACAGGTTGAGAACCTGTAGACTGTCTTGATCTACAGTTCTGGAGTCTGAACAATTGGGCTTTTAAAAGAGCCAATTTGCCCTCGTGTGGGTGTCAGCACTGCTCTGGGATTCTCAATGAGGTCTTCAACATGTAGGGGACATGGAGAGTCTGGACACTGGAAAGGATTCTAAGTTGCTTGTCCAAGTAAGGCTCAGCATTTTGTAGGTGGTAGGAGTCTAGAGTGTTTTTGCAGAGTGTGCTTTTATGAAAGCATGTTTTTAGTGGTGTCATTCCCCTCTCCCAGTAGCAGGAAAACTAGCTACTTAAGTCAGTGTGTGTGTCTCCCAAAGCAAGTGATTATTGTTCAGGATAGTGAAGGTGGTGCATGACCATCGTATGAATAACCTTGTTTTCTCTGAGGTTTAATTAAATCTATAACACTCTCAGCTGAAAAATTTTAGCCCTTTTTTTTTACTTCAATCTGATATTTTTTCTTTTCCTTTGAAAGGTGAATGTTTCAGAACATGAGTTTTTAGTCATCCATAAAAAAATTGTATGAGGTGTGAATAATAATAGTGGTGTAAGTGGTTTTCATAGAGTGCAGTTAGGGGTAGGTGCACCCAATTTAGCTTTATTGTTGCTTGGCCGAGTTTTGAGGATGAGATGGAAAATAGTTTTCAATTTGGAGGAAGAGGAGAGTAATACCCCCCATTTATTCTGAGTGCCTGCCATGCTTAGGCTTTCATGTAAAAATTTACATTTGGCCTTAACCAGTTTGGCTCAGTGGATAGAGCATCGGCCTTCGGACTGAAGGGTCCCAAGTTTGATTCCGGTCAAGGTCATGTACCTTGGTTGCAGGCACATCCCCAGTAGGGGGTGTGCAGGAGGCAGCTGATTGGTGTTTCTCTCTCATCGATGTTTCTAACTCTCTATCTCCCTTCCTCTCTGTAAAAAATCAATAAAATATATTAAAAAAAAGTTTACATTGGCACCACAGAATACCTCTGCAAGTGTATCTTTTTGCAAAAGAGGAAGTTGAGTCTCAAAGATGCTAATTTGGCTGGTTAAGAAGTCCAATTGCTTCTTTTAAAAAAATCCTTTGCTAATTCTACCTACACTCTCTACTATACTAGGGCCTTTCGTTTTGGACCATGGACTGTTCTGAAATGTCTTATTTTTTCTTTGATCAGAGAGATTTTATGGTTTTTTTTTTTTTAGAAAGAGACCTGGAAAGAGCTGGGTGATGTATACTGTTTAATAGTTTGTCCTGTATAGTAAGTCATGTAACTCATTTGGAACTATAACATGGAAACAGTTTTGTTGTGAGAATCAACTGATGTAGTAACTGTGAAGGCACATACTTGTACTGACTTTTCCTCATCAACAAAATGTGTAATACTTCTCCATCCAAAGCAAAACCCAAATCCTTCCTCCTTTCTTAAATCTTCCCCTCAAGCTGCAAACTACTGTTACCAGCCTACCCCCAGCCTAGCTTTCAACCCCTTTATAACTCCTCCCCAGCACATTCTTTTTACTTTGAACTCAGACAACCTGGCTATACCTGGAACCTTCTGTTCTCTGCATGTTCAAGTCTCTGCCTGGGCTCAGGCTTTCTTTGGAAAACTGGAAAGCCCTCCAGTTTACTTGGGGATGTCCAGATCATATATAACCTCTTCTATATTTCCATTATGTTTCTCTAGTACTTTGTATCTACCTTTAAAAATAATTTGTCACTTTTTTGCATAAGAAAGATGTACTTTTTAAAGGAATGAAGAAATATGTTGGCAAAACATCTACTCTCCCAGGTCCTGGATAAAGAGGGACCTCTAAATTCAGAAGCTATATTGAAAATTATTTCCTTCTCAATGGCAGTATATACAGCAGCAAACCTTCCAAACCTGTTGTCACAGCCCTCTATAATCCTGAATCTACTTTACAGGTGGGCAAACTTAGACTTAGAAGCAGAAGGTGACCCGGAGCAAGGGGACACTGGAGCTGGCTCAAGGTAAGGGCAAACAGGAGGTGTCTCCACTCAGCCAAAGGCAGGGCCTCTGCCTATATGGAAGGGAAAGGGAAAAGCTAGGGTGACCAAAACTCCCTTTTTCTTTCAGCCTAGGGAAGCAGTGTCAGGAAAGAAAGGCAGGTTCCTACCCTTAGTGGCAAAGGCCAGGGCAGGCCTCTTCAGTGATGCTCTCTGTGTTTGGGTATTGTGGGTTCACTGCTTCCATAACTCTCTTGTTACCTGCATCTGAGCCTAGACCTCAAGTCTTTAATTATTTCAAAAAGGCAGGGTGGGGAGATGGTTTAAGACAGTGGTTCTCAACCTTGGCTGCACATTAGAATCACCGGGAAACCTTTTTAAAATCCTGATTTCTGGGCCTCATCCAGAAATCAGGATTTTAAAAGATTCCCAGGTGATTCTAATGTGCAGCTAAGGTTGAGAACCACTGGTTTAAGAGAATATGAGACACAGAACAATCTTTCCACAGCCTCCCTTTAAGTAGGCTGGGTCTTTTAAAGATCCCCTTCACCCTGTCTCCTAGGGATATTTAAAGGCAGTTTTTATGAGATTCGATACTGTCTTTTGTGTTTCTTGTTTTGAAAATTATATATTCTTTTACATATTCTTAAAAAAATAGTTTTTTGGTTCCTAAACTCTGAGGAATGATATGATTTTGAACTAAGTAAATCTGGGCTTCCCTTGCCAGGAAGCCCTTAGCAACCCCAAGGCCCTCTGCTTGTTCCCTTCCACAGTCCATCTTCAGCCAGCCCCAGCTGCCTTGCCAGCCTGAGCTTTATGCCACAAGCATAGAACAACCCACTTGGTGAAGACAATCCTTAAAGTGATCTGAGCCCCAGACACTGGCCTTGGGTCCAGTCCACCTCCATCTCCAGCTGCTGCTTCAAGAAGGGCTGCTTAAGTGCTTCTGATCTTTTCCTCTCCTTTCTTCTCACTCTTCTTAATCTTTCTGTGGGTGGTCAGTGAGAGCAGATCAGTAAGGCTTGTTGGCATCCTTGGGCCTCTTTAGCTGTACCTTGAGCCTCTTCATGGCAATTTGAAAGTCATTCATGGCCTGAATAGCTATCTGGGCACTGGTTGGATTGTCAAAGCTAACAAACCCAAAACACTTGCTCTGGTTGGGGCTTGATTCACAAAGACTTTGACAGAGACTACAACTCCAAAGTACAGGGAAGTCTATATGAGTTCTGCATTACCAAACTCCTGAGGCAGGTGATAGATGAAGAGGTTATAGTCTTAGGGCCTTCTCTTTGCTGCTGGGGCAGGGCTGAAGGCTGCTGGGGAAAAGCTATGTTCACTGGGGCATAGGCTGATGGGTGGGCTGCTGCTGCATAGTGGTGCATCCTAGCTTAGGCCTGTGCAGGGGGTCAACCACACCAGGGCTCTGTACTAGGTAAGGGGCGAGCTGGTTATTTTAGAGAGTGTAAGGACTGGCTGCCCATTGGTCTGAGTGGTCAGGGGGCTGAATCCTCTGACTGATGGGTGCCGGGAGACCTGAAAGTATGCCCTGGCAGCTGCAGGGAGGGGAGTTGGCTGCAGGTGGTGGAGGAGGTGGCAGAGTCAGGCCACATCTCCCTCCCAGCCTCTCTCTGCCACGGCCCTGCCCTGCTTTCCCATTTGTCACATTTTTATGTTACTGTTAGAGCTATGCATGTGAATACTTGTAGGATAAGATCCGTGATTTGTGTTTGTATCTCTATTGCCTGAAATATCTGGTACATAGTGGGACGTTTGTTGTAGTCCCTTTAGGGTCTTTCTTAGGGAAGCCTGTTGTTTGTCAAATGCAGTTGAACTTGGAGATTGAATGTGAGTGGGGTTGAAAGGTCAGTTGTATCTGAGTGGGAAGGGTTTCTTGTGTATCCAAAAAATAATTCCTCCTAATAATGTATTTGCTTGTAAGACACATAAGTGTATCCTAACTATTGAGACTCAGAAACTACAAGAACCTTAAGAAATATAGAATGGCCTGGGGGAAGAAGGGGGATGGTAGCAGGCTGGAAGAGGTTCTATGGGAAAAGGAGGGCCTATGTAATACTTTCAACAATAAATATTTTTAAAAAAGAAATTAGAATGGGGTTCTCTACTGAGATGAGGTGAAGGTAGGATTCTTCTAAGGGTTGTAATAACTGTTAAATTGTTATGTCAAATGATTTTCCAATACATTACTTTCTTTTGCTATTATCTCATTTTTTTTTATTTTTAAATGTTCCTATCAGGTGTCTAGAAGTGTATTACAGTTTCTTCTGCTTGATTGCAACCTTTGAGTACTCTCTGGCCTATTGTGCATATGTGTGTGTGCAGTGCATTCTTGTGTCTTCTTTGTAACATATTATAATTTCCATGGCCAGGATCCCATGCCTTTTAAAGAACATTATTCTTACCAGCTAGCCTCCATACTATATGACCTGTCATATTTTTTATTGTCTTCAGTGTAAATCACATAAGTTGTTCCCAATGTTCCTAGACTTAAACTTGGGGCTAGGCCATAATTTCAGTGCCCACAGATGATGGCAGGCATTACGCTGGGCTTTTTACATAGAGTATCTAATTTAATTTGAACAGTGTCCTGCAGAGGTAGGTATACTTATCCCCATTTTATAGATGGATATCTGGATCCCAGGGAGTTTTGGTCACTTACCCAAGGTTAACTGTGGTAGAAACAAGATCTGCCTAACTCAAAGTCTGTTTCCTCCTGGGGATGCTATAGAGAGACTGGGTTTTCTCAAAAGTCTCTGGATAATTCTGTGATGTTTCTGGTGAATAGTATTTTAAAGAGACCCTTTATGATTGCAGCTCTGCCTTGGATAGACACTGCTGAATCTGTAAGAGATGCCACCACCACCGGGAAGCGACAAAAATGAGACTAAGAAATCTCAGTCCAACAAGATTGTGCCCAGTGATCATGGCCAATCTGAAAAGGTGAGAGCAAGCTGTTTCTCCTAATAGTGTCTCAAGTAGCCCCTTCCTGTGTTGGCTTGGTCCCTATCCTCACCCCTAAGTCTTTCAGATTATATGTGGTTTTATTTGAGAAAGAGGGCAAGGAGTAAGAGCCCCTGTAGTTGCAGATCAGCAAATTAGAATTTGGGGAGTAAATATGAACTTTTCTTTCCCATAAATGCATGGCTGAAATGAAGGCCACCCTCCTCAATCTTCCAAAGCAAAGAACATTCACCTCTCATTAATGATCATATCCATACTCCTACTTTGCCTAAATTGCTCAAAGCACCTTTCCAGGAGGTTGCTTGGTAAATCCTGGGGAGACTATGAAGATTAGGTCAACAAATGTATTATCATGATTTTTATAGCTATTTAATTAGAAGAATGGGTTCATTTTGATTCTGCTGTTTTGACCTTGGGGGTAGTTTGACATAGTCATTCCGGTCCTGAGCTGTTCTGTGTTCATTTATCATCATACATATTTTAATAAGAATTTTACTAACACTAATGAATTGTCATTAAGAGAGTATTTCCTAGAACAAATATCATTAGGCCAATTTCTTTTCCTTGATTACTTTCCTTTCAGTACAGATATACATTTTCTAATCATTTTCATTTTAATAAAATGATTTTCATGTAGGGGACAAATATTTTTTCCTGTATAAGTTGACAAGAAATATTTGCTACATTTGTCAGATTTTTGTCTATATCGGATTTTCTTGTTTAGATTTTGCCATTGTAAGTTTTCTTTTGTGGTAGTTATTTTTCCAAATGCAACTTTCTTGGGCACATTTTTTAAATCTAAATTTTTATTGAGTTTAGTTTTACCTGTGAATTTTATTTGGGGCTGATTATTTCTACCAGTAATATTAAGTAGGAATTAGAAAACAGATTAACAGTTGATTTCTTAGCTAATGTGAAAAAATATTTTTTTGCTAATTATTTCCACTAGGATTATTTATTGTGAGCTAGATTAAAAAACTAACGGTCTACTTATTTCTTAGCTTAATCAATTAGAAAACAGAAGTAATTCTTCTCAGCTCTTTCAGGATTACTCTACTGTATTAGATTGGTCTTTTTTCATTAATCCTCATCTGAGGATATTTTTCCATT